TCGGATATGTGTAGACGCGATTGAAAAGTTGCTTAGTTTCCCACCAAATCAATCAATCTTCCTTCCTTCCTTTAGCGCCTCCTTTGAGATCAAAGAGCAGCCGCGAGGTCGGCGCTTTCATCTGCAGCTCACAGTTACCGAAATCAAAGTCATTTGCTTGCACTGAATCAGATGTCGGGTTTTGCACGCGAAATTGTATCCAACTGGTGAGAAATTCTGCCGCCAAACAGCTCTGGTATTTTATTTAAAATTCAAACGTTCTGCATATCTATCCTGGCGCAGGGAGATTCAAAATATTTCAAAATTCGAAATCAGAACGTCGCAGCGTTCGGTGTGGAGCTCCGCTCGCGCTGCTTTCTTCTGAGGAATAAACAGAGCGTAAGAGTGTGAATTGTGAGAGAGAAAAAAAAGCCAAAGCGTGCAGCAGCACCCTCCCACTGATGAACGAATGCGTGTGAATTATGGGAAATGCAGTAGTTTCTGCCGTTTCCGAACAACTAAGTTAGTGCTGGGATGTTCATTTTAGCAAATCGGTTTGCTCAGATTGTTCAGTGATTCACTGATTCTTTGAAATCTTAACTCAAGTTTAATAAGTATATAATCATTTAAAACAATATATATTGAATAATAATAAGAAACATTCGCACAAAAGACAAAAATCTTAGTAGTACTTAAATTCAGTTTTTAAAAAATGAATCAAACGTGTCTCCAAAAGACCCATGTGGCGTTTTATTCATTTTAAAAGTAAAATACATTTTAGTTAAATGCTGCTTATCGCTATGTAATCCAATAGTGTAAATGAATGTCTCTAACATGTGACTCACGTGGATACTTCGAATGATGAGCATGCGCTGTGCCAATCAATTCGAATGAAACATTCAAAAAGAACCGATTCAAAATAACGACTCGTTCGCGAATTGAACATCAAGAGTGACGGCAACTCCTCTTTGAGCTTGAAAGAAACCGGAGAAACCTATTCAAATATTCAGCCCTAAGCACACATATGCAGATAAATAATAAGAATAATACATGTAAAATGCACTTAAATGCAGCTTTAGGATACTAGAGCTGACATTTGCCATTTGGATCTGCAAGCATCGCCCTCAAGTGTTAGAAAAACTAATCACAGTATTTTACCATCTTAGAAGCCTTAAAGGGATAGTTCACCCAAAAATGAAAATTTGATGTTTATCTGCTTACCCCCAGGGCATCCAAGATGTAGGTGACTTTGTTTCTTCAGTAGAACACATATGATGATTTTTAACTTTAACCGTTGCAGTCTATCAGTCGTATAATGCATGGCAATGGTAACAAAATCTATGAGTAAAAAAAACATGCACAGAAAAATCCAAATTAAACCCTGCGGCTCGTGACGACACATTGATGTCCTAAGACACGAAACGATCGGTTTGTGCGAGAAACCGAACAGTATTTATATCATTTTTTACCTCTAATACACCACTATGTCCAACTGTCTTTTCCGGATAAGCGCAAGTACCATTTTGATTAGCCGTCGTACCTACAATGTTTGTGCACTGTGTAAACAATGAGTGACGTATACGCGCGAGAGATCACTTCTGGCGCTTGCGTAAACTACGCCTGAGCGCGTACACACCTCACGTGTCTCACGTGTGGATGCCGTGGGCATGCCCAAAGCAGTTGGACATAGTGGTGTATTAGAGGTAAAAAATGATATAAATACTGTTCGGTTTCTCGCACAAACCGATCGTTTCGTGTCTTAGGACATCAATGTGTCGTCACGAGCCGCAGTGTTTAATTTGGATTTGTCTGTGCATGTTTTTTTTTACTCTCATAGATTTTGTTACCATTGCCATGCATTATACGACTGATAGACTGCAACGGTTAAAGTTAAAAATCATCATATGTGTTCTACTGAAGAAACAAAGTCACCTACATCTTGGATGCCCTGGGGGTAAGCAGATAAACATAAAATTTTCATTTTTGGGTGAACTATCCCTTTAACTTGTCAAGTAAATTGATGTTCTAGTTTTGATCCATTGACCCAAAGGTAAGTCATGATGTTATGATGGGCAGGATGGTAAATGCAAAACTTACATACAGGTTTAAAAACAGCTTTTTATTGTCAAAGTGGTTCTGCTATTTACACTATACAAGCTAAATATGCATCACAAATAAAAGTGGTTCACATTTATATACAATATATACGAATGCACTAAACAATCTATCATATGAACCCAACTGTATCGATTAAATAGTGTGTAAATACTGCTTTGAAAAACAAACTGGTTTGCGTTTTCCTAATTGAAAGGAAAAAATCCAGATGATCTGTACCAGATAAAAATATAGCAAATGTTAGTAAAACTTGTTTGAAGAAAATGTATATAATCTGGGCAGCAATGAGACAAATAATCATTACAGAATTTCAGTCATAATCATTTTTGCATTACGTACCATATGAATCACGTTACAAAATTATCAATATTCAGTACCCTTGATTTTATCTTCAATCCAATGCTAGTGTGGTTAAAGCGAAATATACCCAGCAAGGCTATAACTTGACTAAAATAATATTTTTTAAAGAAGATTATTATTTCATTATAATATTAAGATTACAAACTAGCATTCAGGATTAAAAAAAAAGTTTGAGGGCTATTCAACAAGCACTTATAGGGCTCATAGAAAAAAATAGGTAGTATCTAAAGAGTATATAAGGTAGCTAGTTGTAAAGTGAGGCACTTTTCTTTAGTATATTTAGATTTATAATACTTCAAAAAGCACAAATTTGAATTAAATGATCAGTTTCAGGAAAATAAAGCAAAAATAAAATAAAAAAACATCATTGCCATGTTAAACAGTGACTCCTGGGGACCACTGGCACTGCACTTCAATCTCCAGCATAAAGTTCAGTTTGTTTTTTGGTTGACAATGCAAACAGAACTATGATGTTAGCTACATTTTATATATCACAAATAAAAGTCCATTCCTTATCTTTTTTTTTTTTTTTTGCCATTAATGTGGTGATATTAACTGCATGCTCACTTCTGTTGCAGAATAACTCACGTTTGCTCATGGTTTACCAATATCTGCCACTACCAACCCAGCTAGTCATCAGTCAACACATAATATTAGCACAATTATTGTACAACAGGATTGCACAGCATAATATTTTGGCAGAATCTGACCACATTACAGTTTTGAAAACATTGCATGAACCACTGAGTAAGAGCAAGTTATTTCAAACTTCAAATAAGCAACATGTTTCCATCTAACAAAAAAAACATACTGGTGTTTTTCATGTTTCTACATATCAGCTAGTTCATTAACTACACTAACGCCAAAACAGGGTCCACAAATACTCAGATTACAAGAAAAGGAACTGTTAAACAATTTAAACACAGATGTGAAAAAAATAAAACATTTACATCCGTTTTCATGTGAGATATTGAGAGCAGCTTCCAAACTAAATTACTTAAACTTCACTGCAGTGAAATGCTTAAAGGAATCGTTCACCCAAAAATGAAAATTTGCTGAAAATGTACTCGCCCTCAGGCCATTAAAGATGTAGAGCAGTTTGTTTCTTCACTGGAAAAGATTTGGAGAAATGTAGCAATACATCCCTCGCTCACCAGTGGATCCTCTGCAGTGAATGGGTGCCGTCAGAATGAGAGTCCACAAAAACATCACAATAATCTACAAGTAATCCACACCACTGAAGTCCATTAATTAATGTCTTTTTCAGTGGAGGAAGTGTTAAAGAAACAAACTCATCTACATCTTGGATGACCTGAGTGTGAGTAAAAGCTCATTTTAATTTTTGAGTGAACTATTCCTTTAATATAACTGTTGGAATTCTAATACAGGGGAGATTATGTCTATTTCAAGTAAAATATAGTTTTGTTTTTTTATATGAGGTCCTTGTCTAGTGTTTGTATAAATGACCTTGAGTATGCAGGCATCATGGTCTTCAACAAAACCGATAAAGGACACCGGCATTGTACACATTAATACTATAACACACACTAATACTCATCCAGTGAACTGCAAAATATATTCGATAAAATTAAATAAATATGTTTTTCACTGGTTAAATCTCAATGTGATCAAGGTATGCCTCGCATTCCGTCTACTGTGCATACTTTAGGAAAACAGAAAATATACTTCATGACAGTTTGAAGTATAGACTATAGAAATCCTTCGCTTTGGCACACTGAAATTGTGCGATATGATAAATTGCACTCTCACTTGACCCGAAAACACTGCAAGTTACCTGAAATAGGTAGTAATGTGACTCACTGATTGTCCAAAGCCCACTGGAGAGTAAACCATCTATCGATCCATCTTTACTAAACTAGCCCGCTTCATTCTACACCCAGAGAGCAATCAAAACCTCTACAATCTCCTTGTTCTATGAGCAAAGTAATACACAGAATTAAATATGTAAAAATCTGATATATAGGTCACTATTGTACAATGCATTTGCTGTCACTTAAAAGAAATCTAGAAGGATGCAATTATGTGTTACTACAGTACTTGCATTAAGAGATCTGGATTGGATAAACAGAGAGTGAGAGTTAATAAAAAATGACGACGAGCAAACTTAAGCCATAACAGCATATTTCTACAGGGTAAGTGAGGATGCACTAACCCAGGGGTCTCCAAACTCGGTCCTGGAGGGCCGGTGTCCTGCAGAGTTTAGCTCCAACCCTAATTAAACACACCTGAACCAACTAATCAAGGTCTTAATAGGCATGCTAGAAACTTCCAGTCAGGTGTGTTGAGGCAAGCTGGAGCTAAACTCTGCAGGACACCGGCCCTCCAGGACCGAGTTTGGACAGCCCTGCT